ACTGTCTTCATACTAACTGTGTTATCAAAAGTAATATTGCACAACCTAAGGGAAACTAGCTTACTTTCTTTCCTGGTAAGTATATACTTCATATCACATTTCAAGTTTCACAACAGGATGATTGGTACATCCAGCCTGAATATGGAGAGCTGGTTGAACCAGAAATGGCATTCTATTAAATGCTGAGTAGGTTTTTTAAATACTAGTGAGCAAGAATGGATCGCTGGTAAGTTTAGTACAATGTTAAAAATATGGGATGATGGATGCTCTAAATCAAAGCAAAATTAATAGTAAAAAAATACAAGCAACAAAGAACTATTTAGCTATCAAAACCTCCACCTCTCTGCTGTTACTTTCAGAGATTCCCTATATGAAAAGAAAACTAAGGTTAAGTTTTTAATCTTTTGAAATATCTTTACCATATCCCTTTCCCACCACTCAGCTCTAACAATGCTCATTTTAAGTGAGGTGTACTTACAAATGACATGTCTTCATTAACTATACCATCCGAACCTGCATATCTGTATTTTTACTTTGCATAAAACTTTCAATGACAAAATGATAGAGTATCAGGAATGAAAATACAGCAAATAAAGAACAAATTTTGTAAAACTCACAAACATACTACAGATAAAGTTTTTGGCTTGTTTTTACAGCTTTCCTGCACAAAGATAGTTTTCTAAATTATAAGCTAGAGTAAAATAATTTTAGCCTTGTGCAGATGTTAATTTCCAGTGTTAGTGAACCATCTATGGGAATTCCCTAGATATCAACACCATGGCTAGCCAGATAAAAAAAGTTTAAAATTTCGCATCAAATCATCTCAGTAAGTTAAACTGTACTCCTTTCATATCCCTACTCATCCAAAAGTCTTTTCCATGATATCTTTTTTCAGATGAGTCAGAAGACTAAGGTATTTGCAAGGGATGGGAACAAAACAAAAGCTTTCTCATCCCCTCTTCAAATCAAGGCTTGCCTCTGCCGCAGCCAAAGGTGGCATTTCTAGTACCTCTATATCAAGCACAATTTAGGATCACTACATTACTACTTCCTGTGCTAACCTCCTTGTACTAACAGGAATACAAATCTGGTGAGAAATTTTCAATTCAATGGTCCAAACAGTCTAATGTTTACTGCTGCAAGGATTACATGGAAGACCAACACTTCAGGTAACAGGGAAAGACTATAAATGTTTTAGCGACTGACATCTAATTTAAAAGGTTTTAGCAGCTCTAGGACTACTAAATTAAACGTACACTAGTTACTAGCACCTAACATTCTCTGCAGCTCAAGGAGATTCGTTTTCCCCTCCCCATCTTTCACTACTTATTTCTCAAAATTGATGCTTTTAGTATTATCTGGTAGTTCCACCCACTTCTGAAACAGTCAAATGCAGGAAGGTAGTGTAAAGCTTACCTTCTAAACTGTAGAGCAGCTGGGCAAAGAACTCCAAAAATGCTAACAGCAAAGCAACCAAAGACAAGCCAGACTTTTCTTACCACGCTCAGAATGTTTAAATGAGAAATCTTTAACTACATTTTCAGATCTTCCCAGTAGAAATAGTATAGCACAACTGAACAAGATGCAAAGAATCAGAATTTTATGATTACATAGTCTTATATTAAAGATGATGGCAGAACATCGCAGCAAACTGTTGAGAACTATAAGTCAATTTAGCTGATAAAGAATTCAGGAAGAGGGAACCCCAAAAAAATTCTGACACAGTATTATTTGATACTATAAACTTTCTGACAAATATGTATATCATGCTGCTTTTCTTAAAGCATGGATAAAAGAGTTTCAGTTAGGAAAATTACAAAAGGATAAACATCTGTTGCAAGGAGAAGGTTGAGGGACTAACACCTACATAGAAAAACAGATTCCCAAACACTATTCACAAGTTACAATTAAGGATATAACGAGGTACAAAACCAGTAGAGTACAGAACTACTTACCAATGACAACTTCTGTAAGACAAACAGATGTGCTCAAATGAGTACCAATGTTTCAAAACACTGTATTTGAAGCCATACAGTTATCTACTCATAACAAAGAAGCTAACAGTCAGCAAGAGAGAAATAATATTCATCTTCAAGTAGGCACGAAGTTTAACGAGTTGTCTCCAACGGAAAAATGCTGAATCTTTTCGATTTTTAACAGGTCACCTAGGTTTGCTACCCATGTCATAATGGTAGACTGGCGAGTCTCTACCAGTGGAATGTGCCACCATATCATCATTAAATCCACCCACCCTTCCAGAATAAGCAAGTGCCTGCTACACATGGCTGTATCTACCCATAACGGCCAGGGCTTCCCAAGCCATATCTTCAAGCAGTCACCACCCGATCTCTGCTCAAATCCAAGACAGAGAGAATAATAATATTGTTTAAAAAGAAAAAAAAAAAAAAGGCAGAAAAAGACAGGATTGAGACTCGGCCCAGGCCACAACCAGACACCTATACAGCAGACAGGAAAGGGGACCACCTGACTGCCCTCAGCCCCAGCTTTCCCCCCCACCTCAGCTCTCCAGCACACCCCCCCCCGCGGGCCCGG